TTTTCGTCAATCGTATGATGTATGTTTTTAGACCAGATGGTATAATCCTCACAATCATATTTATGCTATCGAGACAAGAAGATACGTAGCATTTTCAGTTCTAATTACTCTTAACCATCACAGCTGGTCTTGTGCATATACAGTTACACAAACAGACACGATCGTATGCTTCGTGGTTGACATATGACTTGAACTAACCAACTCACTTTATACTTCATCAAAGAGCTCAGATATAAAGTCAATTTGAATATGCTTGTAAGGATGCTACCCTGCTCTGATGATGTTCGTCATATGAAGGACGAGAGCTTGGTACGTGTTCACCGGGAGCCAAGGAGATTACTTCGAAAAGATCCGCTGTTGGTCATCTTCTGGTGGGATTCAACTTGAAATCTCTTCACCAAGCACAATATGGCTAATTATGTTGATTAATATTTCAGCATATAAGTCCACTTCTAAATGTTCCAAGATTTGCCAAAAGGATAGGTTCCGTTTAGTGTTAGTCTCCAATATTCCGTCTCATGCATTACTTCTGCGAAACGGCAAAGTATTTTGGTATATGAGGTGTATTCACCCTATTTCATTTAAGGTGATGAAAGACACTGGAAGTTGAATTTTCACACAAGAATATGAGTAGAGCTGATGTTTCCATCGAATGTAACATGTCCAGGTGGGAGTAGACTGCAGTTTTGACTTCATGTAGGTCTTACAAAACACATCCAGCGGGACTCGAGCCATGACAATGCCACTTTCTAACTGTAAATGTTAACCACGAGTGCAATTCGGTCACAGAGCAGATATGAATTACCAGAAATGTCAGGCATTTTGCATATCATATTGTTCGGTGGGATTGTCGATGAAGCAAATGTATATTTGTTATTAAAATTGACAGTATTACTTTTTTTCGTTTATAGGCAGAATTTCGAAACTACTAGATGTCTCTAAACCCTACTTATGAACGATAAACAAGTAATGCAGTCGATTGTCATAGCAACCGAACAATATGATATGGGAAAATGCTTGGCCTTTCTTGAATTTCCCCTCTGCCCTGTTACCCACGCATGGGCGCTAATGTCATTTTCGAGTTTGTAAGCTGCATCGTCATGGTTCGAGTCCCGTTGAGGATGTTAAAAAGACCATTTAAAGCGAGGTCAAAACGGCAGTACACTTCCGCCTGGCTGAGAAGACAATGAATTGTGAAATTCTATCGAAATGTCAGCTTTACTCATCTGATTGTGGGAAAATTAAAACTACCCATCCCTCATCACCTTGAGCGGAACAGGGCAAATGCATCTCGTATGAGTGATTTATGAATGAGGATAAAAAAGTATTCTTCAGAAATGCCAAAAGATTTCGTCACTTGGCCTACCCGCTTGGCGTCTTCCACCGGAGCCCGGCAGACCAGGTCCACCAACTTGCTCATCCTCTCTTCGAGTCGCGACAACCTGAGGCGTACAGTCGGCCTCGTCGCCCCCCATCGCTTCATCATGTCGCCAACAGAGAGCACACAACGCACCGGCGTCCGGTGCCTCGGAGAGCCGACTTTCTGTCCGGCGGGTCTCGAAGTGTCGAGTCCGCGGGAGGCCGATTCGCTCGCTTTCTTCCCGTCCTCACACGCCGGACTCCTTCGCTCCGCACTGGACGACGCAGGCGGTCGGTTGCTCTGCGAACAGACGATGCCGGCCTCTATTCCGATGCTGTCTCCGGGGCGACTGGTGCCACCGGAACGTGTGCTCGATTCCGCCCGCCTCGAGGCAGAGTCCCGCTTCGGGTTAAGCAAAACGTCTGCTCCCATCGGAAGCCCATCAAGAGGCTGTCGGCACGTCGTGATCTCGCTCCTGCAAGCGCCGAGCGCCTCCAACAAGCCGCGATGCTCCTCGACCAGTCGGCAAATCTCGGCTCTAACTTCACTGCCCTGCACGCCCCGATTGAAGTAGTGACTTGAGAAGGTGTGCCGCAAAAAGAGTGTCTACACGACAAAGAGGCAAACCAGAAAAACTGGATTAAACACCGCGATTTGCCCAAAACTGTGTCTGCAACGACACCAATTGCGACAGATACATCATCGGCCCTTAATATTCTTGACCATTCTACCTGTTATTTTCGGTATAATTTGGTTTTGGGGCTATAAGTAGGTCCTTTCTATATGAAGTGAATTGATCATATTTAGTTTAAGGTGATACAGGGACGTGTAATTGAAGTGGGTCTACGTTGATATGAGTAGACCTTATGTTTTCATTGAATTTCGCATAGGCTTACTTTTAAAAAATGTGTTCTCCTCCAGATAAGAATTGACTGTAATTTCTGCATCTCCTAGGTCCTATCAATGCTTTTAGCGGGACTCGAATCATGACAGTATGGCGTATAATCTCAACACGCTAGCCACTACGCCACATTGCCATGAATACTCTCGGATGACAGAGCAGATACGATTTTCAATGAAGGCCAGACATTTTCCCATATCACATTCTGTAGTGAGATTTTTGATGAAGCAAAGTTGTTATTGTTACTGCAATCGAGTACTTATAAATTAAAAATAAGTAACGTAGTCGAATGCCTTAGCAAATACAACTTTGCTTCATCGACAATATTACCACAGAATGGGATATAGGAAAATGCCCGGCCTTCCTTGAAATTCACATCTGCCCTTTTGCGCAAGAGCATTC